GTTTCAGAATTCCATCAGCATTGACTGCATTGCATTTCTAAACTATTTTTGCACTTACCTGTTACACTTCGAAACAGACGTTCCAGTCCTGTTTCTTTGTGAACGTTGTCTTTGTTATCAAGGAGACATACAGACTGCGTAACTCCTTAGATGACTTCGTCTCTGTAGTCCTTTGGGTGCATAAGTCCAACTAGGTTTAAGTGAGAACACATTAATTATGAAATTAATTGGTAAGACCTTGCTTTAAATGGGCCGAGTGGGTTTGTTCATGAATATTTACAGTTGCCAGCCTCATCTAAGAAGTATTTCAACCGTTGTAAGATAAGTCAGACCATTGGTGGTACATCTTGTATAGAAATGTATTTATTGCGTGTTAAAATTGAATTTCTATTTATTACTTACATCATAGGACTTGTTCCTGATTTCTCAGACTAACAGCCTCTAGAGGTGGTATCCCATGCACAGCCCCAGCTTCTCCCAACCCCCAGCCCTCCTGGCTGAGTTTAGGTGTCTCTCCTAATTCCTTCCACCTCTTTCAAATTATTCTGTGGGAAGAATGCAGGCTCACTGTCCCTTGCTCGCTCTCTCTCTCTCCTCCATCTGGCTCAGGGCAAATTATTAGTTTGAGCTATGAAGTTGCCAATGTTGGCCTAATCTTTAACTTCTCAAAGACTCACTTTCTTCAGCTTTAAAGTGAAAATAGGCAATACCTTCTTCATAGGATTTCCTGAGAATTTTCCACATAATCTTGACACACGATTGGCACAGAACAAGATTAATAATTATGTTCGTGAATGGACAAATGGATGGACAGGAATGTCTGTCTTCCTGGCATAAAGGGAAAACAGCCAAATGGATTGTCACTAAGAGTGGATGGTGTTTTCTTAAAATACAGGCTCTTTAGCATGAGCAGAATCCACTTAGGAGATGCTGGGGGCACAGCAACAGGCCAGATGTGGGTCTCCAGACAGCTGGGGTGGAGGTTCTGGCCATGCCGTGCCAGAGAGGCCCTGGCAGAGAGCAGCTGCTTTTCATAGGGCAACTCCGGGATGGGCAATTTGAGGAATTCGTGCATTTAACAATGATAATGATCCTCCCTGGCAGAAACAGGAGGCCAGCTAACAACAACAACAACAAAAGACAAAACAAAACACCCAGGGACAAGGCTATTTGGAGAGAGAACAGAGTTTGTTCTTTCAAAATAAGCCATTCTAAGTAAATAAAGAATTCTTTGCTTTCCCATGTACATGTAATGTGACGGAGTCTATTTTTCACAATGGTGAATTAGTGTATTTAGTCTCCCCATAATCATTAATTTTACATAACTGTTTTCTAAGGAAATGCAGTGACCTTTATTTTTAATTCTCTCCTAGTCAAGGGAATTTTACAGCATTACTAAGTGATAAAAAGTCCAAGTATGTGCCTTTAATTTGTCCTTCAAAAAGTTCAAAGGGAAAAGCTCTTTCAGTGGCTTCTTGCTCACCTTTAATAAGATTAGCATTGTCACAAAGCTTGGGGGAACCACCACTTGGTAACTTTTGACCTTCCCCCAGTTTTTGTCCCCTGGCATCTCCTGGCTTATGACACCAGGCAGCTAATTATAATCACCCAACGAGAGCCCTGCCACTCACTCATGGATAGATTCAGTGAGACAATCACATTCTCGGACCATCCCTGTAGAAAATGACCCAGGCATCTTATTGTCTAGTGGTCAGATCATCAAGGGGAAAAAGTGGTTTCCTCTCATGGTGACTTCTGACAGTGACAAGTGATCCTGACCCTCGTGTAACAATGTTTCCTTTTTTCCAGCCCTGAGAGTTTTTCTCATCCAGTGCTTTTTCCAAAAGATACATGATTTCAGTGACTTAAATATAACTTGTTATTAGTTACAAGGTAGCCCATTTATATCTCTTACTAAATCTGTACAAGCAACATTAGTAGATATCCTTCATTAAAGGTATCCTTCACTTGAACTGCACGTGGAGGGAAGACCCAGGACACAGTCCTATTCCAGAAACTACTGCCATACCCAGAGAAGAGCACGTGTTCTGTGTACATGGCATTATGACGTGGAGGCACACTCACTTTGAGAATCTCAGAAATGAAGATGCTTAAAATTGTTTTGCATCTTTCCTGTCCCCCCTCTTAAGAAGACTTTTAGAGTAATCGTTGCCGGTTTGCAAATATTCTTGCAAATTCAGTAAAACACTTAAAAATTATAAAATGTGGTGCATGATGTTTAGTTTTCCCTGCGCCATCCCTTAGGCCTGACTGCTTCTGAATGTCCTCTGCCTGTCTGGCTTTCTTGCCCCATGCCCTGCTCTTTTTCTCACCCAGAGGCAGCCCTAGGGCTGTGTCAGGGGCTTTCTGTGCAGACCCCTGTACTGTGTCACCCCACTTTCCCCTCAACCTGTGTGCTGGCTGCCAGATCCACCTCCCTACATCGTCACTCAGGCTTCCCTCTTTGGGGGCCACCACACCTCCTACCAGTCACTTCTAGACTTCCCTCAGTCTTATTTCCAAGGAGCCCTGTGTTCTGTATTTCTATAATACAGTCTTCTTGGGAACTGCCCCAGCCCAGCCCGCACCCCCCCCCCCCCCCTCCTCCTCCCTCATTCTTTCCCTGCATATACAGACTCCACCCAAGTCTCAGAGCCTTGCTGTAGGGAGGATCCACCCCACAAAGCATCCCAATTACCCACCAAGGGCACAGCTGACTCCCTGCCCGCAACACCTGGATTTATATGTACCACCTAGAACCCTGGGAAGTGTGTCCTGCATGTCAGTCATGCTGCACCTGTGGCGAGCTGGGAAAAGACAGGGACCATGCATTAGATGTCTTTTATTATCTCCATACACTCAAAAAGTAATTATCCCTGATTGAAAGGTAGACTTTCTTTAAAACATTCTCTCATTTGCACACCGTCCTTGAGCCCGAGGGTCCAAGTCAAATACATACCGGGACAGGGGATCCCTAGTGACATGCATAGATGATGTCCCATGAAAGCAAGGGGACCCCATCTCTACTATCAGCATGTGGGCGTGGGGAAGTCTGGAAAGTAAAAGCAATGGAGAAATACAAAGGGAATTTGTAAAGTGACATTTCTAAATAGTCATGGGGAGTGAGCAAGAACAGTCAGAAACTTGATGAGAGTCAGAATCCACTGTAGGTGGCACTCAAGTTTCCATAATTTAAAATGACCGCCATCCTAGTTTCTGGTCCTCCTATTTCACTGTCTAGATGAGAAGAACATTTCCCTTGAAATGGTTCCTACTGTTGGAAGAAGCAATTTCAGGCCAAGGGACAAGGAGATGCCTTAGCCCTAATCAAGGCACATGGCTCTGGGCCAGATGTCTGACCACCACACGGGCTACTGACCAGTCAGCTCCAATGCCATCCTTCCTTCTGTCCTCTGCTCTCCAGGGCTGCCCACCACAGACCTCTCCCTTGCCAACTGCTCTTCATTTCCACTGATGGGTGCTCTGGTCATGAGCAGCACTCCACCTGGCCCCGGGGTTCAGCACCCATATGGCGTCATTCCCCTCACTGCAACATGGCCCTGCAGGGCAGCCCTTAACCCCCTTTCCCAGATGAGGACCTGGGGTTCTGAGAGGCATGCTTCTTGCCTAGGGCCATGTGGCCCCAAACACAGGGTTGGCTTAGACCACGCTGTCCCTCACAACACATAGAGTATCATACTTGTGTCTCTTGTCCCTCTTTTGCTCAGAGTCATGGCAAAGACAATTTTACCCTCTTCAGTGGTTTTTAATGACACTGAATAGCACGTAATTAAAAAATAAGGATTTGTCAGAAGCTTTATTACCCTTAAAAGATAACAGCTGAAGAATAACAATCCATTCTTATTGCCTCTCAGGGTTTTGATTGTGGAGCAAAAGCCAAATGGATCTTACATGAAAAGCTGCGTTATTTGCCAGTGTTGAAGCATACTGCAACTTCAAAATACCTATCTGTTGACACCAAATGCTCTCATTGAAAATGTCATTCAAAATAACTAATTAATAAAACTTTAGAATTACATACTGATTATTTTATAGATGTGACTAGAAATAAGCTTAGTAAGGTCAATTTTGCCTAAATGGGCTCATTTAAACTTCCCAATCCCTGATATATAAATGAAAGAATTGGATTAATATAGTTTGTTATTCTACATTCTGGTTTCTAATGTCAATCATATAAATAATAATTCAGCTTAGTAGTCACCATTTATGCCAGCTTAGCTATAAAAATTACCAATTTATTGTGTGCTACTCAATAACTACTCAATAGGTTCTGGAGGGAGAGAGGAGGATGTAATTTGTCTATTTTCACCGTCCTTGTCAGCAAATAACAGTATTTGGGAATTAGCATGACTATTGCAAACTCTTAACTAAAATAATATTCAAATTAAACTGAGGCAGCATAAGACAGTAGAAGGGGCCAGCACTGGAAACAAATTGGCCTGGGCTTGAGTTCAAACCCTGCTCAACACTAGCTGGGTGGCCTCAGGAAGAATCATTTCCGTTCCGTTTCTGCTTCAGCATCTATGGTTTGAGATTTCCAAGACCATCCTGTGGGTTTATGGCTACGAAAGGGAGAGCAGCAGTGTGCCAACACTGAGTAAGTTGTTCTTATTTATTTCGTAAGGATTGTCTTTTATTCTAGGTGAGGTACTGCCCCACTAGAACTCAGGCTGATTATAATGTAAACTCAGAACCATAATGTGTTTTAGAACCCCCCCCCCAAAATACTATAACACTTACTGTGATGGTTGAGTATTTTATGTTATAGAAGCCAAGACCCAAAAGAGAATTGAGGAGCAAGAAAATAGTTTTTCTATTTTTACATTTGAAGGGAAAATAATGGATCTGTCATAGGAAGCATTAATTAAATATCAGCTGGATGGATGAATGGATGGATGGATGGAAGGATGGATGGGTGGAAGGAAGGGAGGGAGGGAGGAAGGAAGGAAGGAAGGAAGGAAGGAAGGAAGGAAGAAAGAAAGGAAGGAAGGAAGGAAGGATGGATGAGTAGCAGGCTAAAGAATTGGGAAAAGAGGAACCTGGGCCCTCTGGTATGGATAGGCTACCTCATAGGGCTCATACTGCCCTCCTGATCTGGGGACCTGCAATACAGTTCTGCTTCACATTTGAATTGTGAAGAACATTTCCAACTCTCTTTAAATAAAATACAAAGTCACTCCAAAGAACATTTTCCTCATCTGGGCCATGTCTCACGCCATTAATGTAAAACTGCTGATTTAATGGAGCTGTTTTTGATCTATTAAGAAAAGACACACCTAATTTAATTTCGCTATTTTTCCAAGAATAAGTGTCTTAATTTGCAGAAGGATTTGATTATAATTTTAAGTAATATTGCAGTTGTACTTTTAGTCATGAAGATGATATTGAGTGCCTTTATGGGGCTCAAATGTGGAAAGTCCCAGAGAATTGTATGAGTTGGGAATTTTATCTTTAACAACATTCAGGGCCATTTCTGTTTGTAATGTGACAAATATTTTTTAGAATGAACAGGATCTCTGATAGGGAATTTTGCATTAAAAAAAAAAGAAAGAAAGAAAGAAAAGCAGGCAGTTTTCCCTTCAAGTGTGAAGTGGAATAATCCCAGAATATAAAAACATGTAAAACTGAGATACAGACACCCATCACTTTTATCTGTACATTTTCTTTTTAAAACATGTGTTATCATGAGAGAATTTCTAATACTGATCTTTGTTCCCACTGGGTCAGCTTTGTTTCTTCATTTCCTTCTGAATTACTCTGAAAAAATGGAAAATTTCTAGATACTCCAATGTACCTACTGAAATATATTATAGATATTGAATGTGTTATCCAAATGTTAGACTCAAATGGGATTGAATTTCCATTCTGCACCTGATGACATATATTCTCCAATTATGAGAGAAAACAAACAAACAAAAATTTCCTTCTTCCCTCTGTCAGTCTACCCGGAGCCAGATTTAGCCATATCTCATGGAGAAAATTGCTTTCCTATAACTGACAACCTGTAGGGTCATTGGTGTGACCCTGTCTGGTGTCAGGTTGAAAGCCATGGGAGATACCACAGCAGGTGAATGGGAACAACACCAGCAGTATGAGGGACACACATGGTCACCCCACAGTGGCCACTGCCAGATACAGGGTGCCAGGCCCTGGGAGGATGGGGACGCCAGCATATGGGTGAGCCTGCCAGGGTTGGGAGGTAATTTTTTTTTTTTTTCAACGTTTATTTTTTATTTTTGGGACAGAGAGAGACAGAGCATGAACGGGGGAGGGGCAGAGAGAGAGGGAGACACAGAATCAGAAACAGGCTCCAGGCTCCGAGCCATCAGCCCAGAGCCTGACGCGGGGCTCGAACTCACGGACCGCGAGATCGTGACCTGGCTGAAGTCGGACGCTTAACCGACTGCGCCACCCAGGCGCCCCGGGAGGTAATTTTAATGAAGGAATGAGTGACAGATAGAAAGAGGCATCTGCATTGCCAAGTGCAAGGACGGCCCAACCTGGGGTACTCTTGCTGCAGAAGTCTTACCCTGCAGACAGGGGAATTGCACCGGTGGGATTTAGTAAAAAAAAAAAAAAAAAAAGTCACCCTGCCCCTGCCCTAACCCACAGGAATTTCTCTCACTGACATGTTATGGCTAGAAATACTTACTTGAGATCCAAGCATTGCAATTGATCAAATTGGCAGGAGGAAAAATCTCTTGAGACAGACTGAATTTTCTTTCTTCTGAAGTTGTTGGATAATAGCGTCTGAATTGCGGGTGCCTGGGTGGCTCAGTCGGTTGAGCGTCCGACTTCAGCTCAGGTCATGATATCACAGTCTGTGAGTTCGAGCCCCGCGTCAGGCTCTGTGCTGACAGCTCAGAGCCTGCAGCCTGCTTCAGATTCTGTGGCTCCCTCTCTCTCTGCCCCTCCCCTGCTCATGCTCTGTCTCTCTCTGTCTCAAAAATAAATAAAAACGTTTAAAAAAAAAGAATAAAAAAAACAGTGTCTGAATTGTAGGGGGTCTTCCCTTTCTTCCTTCAGGAATGGAAGGTCTTCCATTTCTTCCTTCAGGTTTTCATACAAGCACCAGTGAGGGCACGGAGCCATGCCTTCTATTAGTTGTGGCCACACTAGGCTTTTCTCTTGGAGGGGGGGACCACAGCCGAGAGTGGAGGCTCCAAAGTCAGGCTGCTGGGGTGTCTGTTCGGGACCCTGGCATCTACCATGTGAGGGGCCTGGAGCAGAGTACCTCTGTGCTCTTCACTTCGGCTTCCTTCCCTAATGAGAAGAGCAATAGAACAAATCATAGTTGCCAGGACGAGATATGATACAGCCCGTAACATGCCTAGCATGGTGCTTGGCCCATGGAAATCCCACGGCCATTTTAGTTGGTATCACTATCTCAGTATAACCTGTGGTTGATGCCACTTTGGTGGAGGTGCCCCTGGCCTGGGGTAGCTTCCACTCAGGATGCAGTTTGAATCATGTGCCACAGACAGACGCCTCACCCAGACGGCTGTCAGGATGGGGCTGTTGTAATAGGGCATGCTGCACCCTGTGTGTCTCCGAGAGTATGCAGCCACTGTGCCTGACCCCCACACTGGACTTTTCCTGAGACCTCTGCTGCGTTCCTCATAGGGAGTTTCCCTTCCTCCCCAGTAAGCAGGAGTGTGCCTCGCACACACACAACCACCTTGCAGGGTCCTCGGCCCAGTGGAAACAGGTTGTTTCTCCTACCACTTTCATCTACACCGGTGCAGCCACCTCTCCTAGTCCACACTAGCAGCTAGATCTTCATCCAGGCAAACAGTTTTTAACAGAAATGAAATGAGAGTCATTCCATCAGCCCCTGGGAATTTTTGTGACCAATCTCGAAAGCAAAACATAAAAATTTCCCACTACATTATTTAACTTTTATATACATTCTAATCATTGCTTGTTTAACCTGACTGTGACCCAATTGCTGGGACAGATGTAAAAGGACTAAAAGGTGCTTTTTGCCTTCCAGCTGCTCAGAACCCCTTCCCCAGTCACGACGTTAATGAAACTAGTGTTGTTTGTGTTCCTTTGACCACTTGGGGTTCGCTCAGGTGGGTCTGGCCAAGCCTACTGTTGGAGCTGCACCCACACACGTCCCCACCTGGTGCCACCTGGCGTGACGGCTCAACTCTCACATCTACTTTGTGTAGCTTCTGCCTAAGTGAACCATTTACATCACACGCTGTCTTTAATTGCCAGAAACCAGTCACTTTAATATTAAGTGGCAAACATAGTTTTGCTACTTCTGATTACGGAGGAGCTTTGTATTATTAGAATTCCCCCAAATTTCCAGCTAGGTTTTGATAATTGTGACAGTATTTCTTTTTAAACTGATAAGTCTGTGGGTGGATTGGGTTTCAAGTGCTGGTCAGCAGCAATAGTTATCCCTCAGGTGTGCTGTGATGCCCTATTTTACCCAGTAAAGCAGAGTCTACACAGGCCAGGGGAGGCCACTTGGCACCCTTCACACGAGCTGCTTTTTGGTTTCTAGGTTGCTTGCCTTTGGTAACCCCCTAAATTTTCTTGGAGTTTCTCCTTGTCATTTGATCATTGGTACTAAGATGAGTATCTTCCTGGAAAATAAGATGCCATTAAGCCATTGTAATGATTTTACGGAAGTATAGAAATGCTCCTTGTTTTCAGATATATTTGTGTTTGTTTTTAAATGCTCAAAAGAGGGAAAAAAAACAAACATAGCTCAAACTTGTAAACATCCTCAAAAGGAGTATTGAAAAATCAAGAAAATCTGTAGAGAGCTTAGTGCAAATACTTTGGGCCAGAAAAGGTACTTCTGCCATGCCCAAGCCCTGTCCTACTTCATCTGGTCCCCGTGGGTTGTTGATGGGCATACAGAGAGCATATTTCAAGAGAACGATAACCAGAATATCTGCCACAGAAGATTATTTTTATCCTTGTTGATTGATTTGGTTCTCTTATTATCATATATCATCATGAATCTGTTTTATTTTTAGAATCAACCTAGATATAAACTAATCTGTAGGTCACATGGAATGCGCCTTTGCCTCCAAAGCGAGAATGGTTGAAGCATAAATATTGGATGATTCAGTTCAAATTACATTCACTAAATAATACCTGTAACGTATTCATAATAACTTTCCTCTTTCGGTTGGCGGTGATAAAGTTAGAGCTTAAAACTCCATGTTTACTGCTATCTTAATCGTCTGCCCTTTTTATACCTTGCCACACAGAGGACTCCAGACATTTAGAGATGGTTCTGCATTTGTAATTGTTTTACATTTAGCTGTGAGTTTTACATGGATGTTGAATGCCAGCAGAATGTCAGCGGTAGCCATTTTCTCTAGCCAAGGCTGAGAGTACATTTTTTTTAGCCCCTCACCTGCCATATGTTTAGAGTGAATGAAAATCTGTGAAAGAGAAACAGTTCAAGCAACATTGACTCCCTTCCTCCCAGAAACCAAGTTATTGGCATAAGCATGGCAGACCCCTCGGGCTCTCTGTTGTTCACATTGGTCCGTCACTTCTTGGGTCATGTTCATCAGTGAAGCAGCCTGTGGAATCCCTGCTCGCTCACTTGACGGCATGTTCTCTAGACGTTAAACAGGCTGAATGATGGGTTTTCTCATCGCTGATGTTTTACTGTCATGGGCTTCTTTCTTTCGTGGTGACTTACAGAAGGTGAGGTGTACCCGCGGCACCAGAGATGGAAGTATGAAATGCGGTCATTAGGGGTGTGCTCCTCAACAAATCAGTCCCCTAAGAAGAACTGATCTGAACAGAGATCAAATCCATTGCACTCTTGGAGTGTCCCGAGATCCTAAGAGGGAGACCCATTTGTTCCCTGTGCCAGAGGGACAGGGGAGTATGGGAGAAGATCTCCAAAAGTCTGTAATCTAATAGCCTGAAGCAAACCTATTTCTATCACATTTCCACTTAGTGTTATCATTTCCTTGGAATTATTCTTAAACCTGGTCATATGGCTATTTTCTTCTTTCTTAGCAGAAGTGGACTGCTTTCCTTTCAAGGAGTGTATCATTAGTGTTTGAAACCTAATCTTATACTTCCATGTGTTTAATTTCCTTTTCCCGAAAATCCATTTTATTTGGTTACATTGTTCAGTAAAGTCATCCTTTTTATCCGTTACCAGGCTGTGACATTTACTTTGAATGATTCATTTATTTGGGATCTTAAACCGTCCTAGAATTTAAATTTGCATTATATTGAAAGACAAACAGAATCTCTGTAAAAAATGATGTATGGCTTTAGGCTGTATCTGGCATCTGTTCCTATCTTGATGATTATGGAATTTCATCCATTTATTTAGGATTATTGAGTGCCAACCCAGCCCACCTATGGATTTTCCTCTGGGTGGCAGATACCAGGGAAGATGTGAAGGATATAGAAGTCCATCGGAGCAGAGTTTCCTCCTTCCAGAAATGCCCCTCCCAAGGTTCTGTGATGTGGCTCAGAACCTTCTTCATCCCTCCCCAGTCCCTCCTCCATCTTCCTTTCCTGCGAAAGTACTTCTGCCCCTGCTGCAGAAGTGGGAAGGTAGGAGTTCCCAGCGGTGCATGCTCTCCTTTTCTCCTCTACGGCAGTCTCCAGACCCATGACTCATTGCTTCCTGTCTGCAGCCCAGGCCTCTCTGCCAGGACACATTTGTCATCTCCCCAGTATTTCTCCCCTGACATCCCTTCGGACCCTTCAGACTCGACAGTTCCCCTTGTCACTTGAGCCTTGAACCCCTAAGTTTTGTCCTGCCTTTTCCCTCTCTCACCAAGAGTGAGCAGCCCTACAGCCTGAAGCCTCCTCTCCCTTCCCTCCAACCCTGCTTTCTTGAGGCCCATGTCACATCTTTCTCCCTGACTAGCTCCTCTTCCTCCAGTCTCTCTCCCTTCTAGGCCCTTCCAACATGTGCCCTCCCCTGCCATTATCTCTCAAGTACTGGCCATATCTTGCTGTTCATCTCCTTAAAAGCCTCCAGTGATCCCCAGATGCTAGAGACTATTGTTGCCCCTCCTGCCGTGACAGACCCTTGGCAGGCTGACCTATACCACTCTCCGTCCATGGGTACTTACATAGTCTCTGGGTCCATTCAGTCCACAGGGTACTTACCACCTCACAGGTTGGGTGTCTGTCCTCCCAGATAAGTTGTGAATGCTGTAATCTTTCTCACCTTGCTTCCTCCAGCTCCTAGAACAGTCCCTGGCACATGGTCTGCTCCTCTGCAGGCATCTTCCATGAATAAATGATCCAGCAACAGTGCCCGGGGGGCTCTGTTCTCTGCCAGGCCACCTCTCCACCTGTTCCGGAGTGTGCTCAGTGAGGACCTTTGCATTAGAAGACCCTCCCCACAGTGTGTAGTGTGTACCACGCATACCATAGGCATTTGTGGGGACAGTTTTTCATTGAGATATAATTCGCATACCATAAAACTCCCCCTTTTAAATTGTGTACTACAGTGGGTTTTACTATATTTACCAGATTGTGCAACCATTAGCATCATCCAATTCCAGAATGTTTTCATCATCCCCAAAAGAAACCCTGTATCCACTCTGCCCGCAGTCCCTGGCAAGCTCTA